CCAAAATATTTTCTATCCAGCATATTTACATCTAGCGTATATTCCTATCCAGCATATTCTCCAGATTTTGGTCCCTGCGATTGTTTCCTTTTTGCAAACGTCAGGATGTGGGTAGAAGGTCAAAGATTTGAATCAAGTCAAATTTAGGTTTGAGAAAACCTATTATTTGAAAAAAATTAGAAAACCGCTAGACTAAATACATCAAGGTAAAATAATACATTTTTTTGGAGAAAAAAGTTTATTATTTACAAAATCAGTGAATTGTCAATATTCCCTCGTAGGCTTAATTTCTTTAATTCTAACTTCAAATATTTGTACAATAATTATAAGGTACTTAATAATTCTTAATACTTTTGTTTTATACAATGATATACAATGATTAGATAAGATGACCTTTTTTTAGACTGAATTAATATTCTCTACCATCAGATAATCAGATATGTTTGTAACCAGGATTCCTGCTTATGTGACTGTAAACAATATTTTGTTCTACTTTAACAAGTTCAAATTTTCTAATTTTGATTTATTTTATAAAACATTAATTAAGTTAATTTATCATAAAAGCATGTATTTCTAGAATTACAGTTCATTTACTGTTGTCTTTATTCTAATTGCAAAGACAAAAAATTAAATATTAATATATAAATTTATTATAATTCAAATATTTAGAATGCATTATATGCATATACATAGATCCAAACGTTAGTATTTCTTTCGTATGTTTGCATGACATCTAGTTGGCTCGTTAATGCAGGGCTTGCAGTCATAACTTTCACTTATTCATAATTTATTATTCAAACGCAAAATTTAGTGAATAATTGTATAATTGCGCCACCTTAATTTTCACCTAAAAGAATGCTTTCATTTTCATACACGATGACATCATTTAGAGTACTTGTTTTTTTGGGTAAACGGTGTCTTCAGTTCTAACGATAGATGTAGCCACTGGATACTTATTCGTTTGACTATATTAATGTTGCAACAGAATTCAGACATGTTATTATTCTATCAAGAGTAATATGTATCACTAACACAAATAGAAATACTAATCTTACGGAGAGTACTTTTTTTAAAATTATCTAGGAATTTTTAATTTTTGTCGTTTCTAGTAAGTGACGTAGGTCTTGCAATAGGATCAGTAATATGAATAATTTGTATAGAGTTATTTTTGTTAACCAACAAAAGGCCGGCGATCTACGTATTGACTCAATATTAGGACCTGTTGACAAACATGTTTTTAGCTTGATATCTGATATTGTTGTAACTGTAACTGTTAATTTCTACGCAGATAAAGCTCAATACAATTTTAAAAGGGTACTATTATTATATTACATGTATTAAGTACTTTTGCTTTGAATAATTGCATTTTTTACATGACTAGTTTTACAGATTATAATACAAATAAATGTGCACTTTATATAATAAAGAATATTTTTTGAGTAAGAGTGAGGTTTTTTAATAAAAACGACCTTAAAAGACCTTAATAATAAATGTATACTTTTAGTATAAGAAATAACATAATTATTTCTATTATATATTGCATAGCTATTAAAAATTTTTGTTTCTTTTAAGAATATATATTGTTACGTCCTTATGGCGTTTTTTAAGAAATTGAAGTACATGTTTATTGTTTACAGTATTTGGATTAATGACACCTTGTTCGAGCACATTTTCTCCTAACATTTTGTTGCATATGTTGATATATGTTATACAAATAAAACGTTGATGTCACAAGTGGTGCAATTTTAGGGCCATATAATCTACGTGTGTAACCTTTGTCCCTATCGTAAGCGTAAATTTTCGTAAACACGGGATAATGAATCAAAAAATAGGTTTTTGTTGTACTGTTACTGTCTGCAGTAAGAAGTTTACGTATACAAGTAAGAAAATGGCATGAAAAAGTAAAAAGACAAAATTTTAATTTAATTAAGTTTATTTTTTTATATAATTTTTTATTGCTATTCAAAGAAATCTGTTCATTATTTTCGCAGACTTAAAATTGTGAATTAAATTTAAATTTTATGCAATTATAGGGATCAGCTAATGTTTCACGGAATACGTTTTAATTTCAGAAAACAAATATACATAACATTTTATGACTTCACTGAGTTACCGATCTCGTCTAAATACCCATATTATTCTTCAACATATGTACCGTTTACATATGACTATCGACAGATAGACATTAAAACAAGTAAAAAATTTCTTTTAAAAATGTAAATATCTAATACTATTATTTGTAATAGGATCTATTTTTTATAACTTTTCCTAATTTTATTTTAATTTAGGTATTTTAATGAATTGTATAGTTATTATAAAAAAGATTTTTGTTTTATAATGATAAAATGGAGCACCGATTATTTGTCCAAGTAGTTTATTTCGTACTTCATAATTTCTCTATATTAGAGGTGCACGCCGAGCTCCACAGTTCAATATCATAAGATCTCTTAATATAGGTGAATGCATAGTTATTTCGATTTTTATTAATCGAAAATTAAAATTGAAAATTAAAATTTAAAATTTGTTTTTATGCTCAGATTTCTGGTAGTAAAGATGCATACTATAAATTGGGAAATACAAATCTCTTAGATACAGAACGATAATACCTAACTTTGGCAACCGTCGAAGAGAACCAGCATTTTACAGCGAAACCGACCGCCGCACAGTCCGCAAAATAAAATTAGACGATCAAAATTCAGTATTTTTCAAATTAATAGCGATATTAAAAGCATATTTGCCTTAAATACAGTTTTTTAGATGGGTTTTCTTTTGAATGTAACTTCAACCTCAATGAATTATCAAAAACTCTCCAAATTTGAGCACATTGACCATTTTTTATTTTTTAGAATATTTTAAAAATTATACTAGGTAAAAAAGTTAAATTTGGTATAATAAATACTTCTACTATATTACTAAAGTCCAAAAAGTTTTATGATGTTCCGCTTACTGCAGCACCCAACCCTTATACAAAATTTTCACAAAAATATGTATATTTATTACATACCTATGTTTCATATAAAATTTTAGTGAAATTGAGATTTCGCAAAAATTTGACCAAATTTAAACCTTCATAACTTTTTTTTACTTATTAAAAAACAATCATTTTTTATGTTTTTTAAAGCTTAAATTATTATTAATTAATTATTAATTAGTTATTAATTAATTATTAATTAATACAAAAAAATGATCAATTTTAATTAACAGTAAAATTTTATTAATGAAAATGTACAAAGACTCAGCTATTTTTTTATGACCAGTATCCTAGTTTTTTTTACAAAATTTTTCTAACTAATAGACAAATATTAAAACTGTACAAAAAACAAAAAAATGTTCTTCACTCTCTATTTTTTTATATATATTACAGATCCCAGAAATCAATGAAAACGTGTCGTTTTTCGCACCCCACTCCAAGTTTACCAATAGTAACAAATCTCAATAATATAATTGAAAATGAGAAAAATTTGTTATAATTATGCACCTATCTAATATATGGCTTTTAAAACTTTAAGGCAGGAATTTAAAGCATTACCACGACCAGTAGAGCAGGTCTTTCAAAACGTGAACAATCTGTTGCATATTTCAGTTTAAATAAAATTTTATAATCCAATTTTTATTTTTTATAAAATTATATGAAATTATTTACAATTTTTAGAATACAAAAAGGTATTACGTGAAACGTAATGCAAAGAAGGCAACCCTCAATTTTAATGCTTAAAAACTGTCATGTTCAACGAGTCATGAATTTTTAATTTTTGTTTTACATTTGTTTTACACAACTTTTGGATTAAATAAATTTAATGGCTCTTTACAATTAATTTCTTTTTTTCTTTAGAATTTTGTTTTTTTTTTTACTGACACTGACATTTTTTAAACCCCAAAAAAAGTGCGTTAATTACAGAGATTTTATTATAAATATATTCAGGCTCTTCGAATTATCATCAGGATTTAAGTAAATAAACAAAACAAAGAAAAATTAAGCGAAAAAAACAAATTTTGGAGCCAAGAAAAGTTGAAGGCATAAGAAGCGGCAAGAAAAGAATGAAAATCAAGTGTTAAGCATAATCAACCCATAATAATACCATTGACAGCTGCTAATGGAGTTAACACCAAAGCTGATAAAATAAAGAAAAATAAAACAAAAACAAATATTAAGGAGAAGAGTCATCCAAGTGAAAATGACAGTTAAAGGCATTAAAGGTATATGCGGTACGATGAGCAAAGACATAAACACAGACAAAAACAAAAGCATTAACAACAAAAAAAATAGTAGAGCAGAAAATAACAAGAAGACAATATCCCAAACCAAACAAATATCCTTAATTAAGGCACACGGCATAGCACAACATGGCACTGGCACTGGCACAGGCACAACACTGAATTGAACTGAAGCTGAAAGGTTTGACATTGAGCTCATAATTCAATTGAATTGCGTCTTCTTTTGTTTTCATCTCTACTACAACAGAAAGCATAATAACACAATTTTTGTAAAAAAGCAACAACAAAAATTACAACAACAAAATAAATGCTGAATTGCGAATAAAAGTAATGATGATTCTTGGGAAAGGATGCTGTAAACAATACACTCAATCTCTATTTCCTTTTAAGCATAGCACACTAGAATTTAAGTGACCTAGCAATCAGGATGAAAATGTGGGTGTAGTATTTGTGTAGCCTGGCAAACAGCTATCAATAATGCATCACGTTAAACATACGCAGTTTCGAATAAAGATACACTATGCCAACCAAAAACAATAACAAAAAACCTAAACATTTTAGAACAAAAGCAATTTTTGTACAAAAACCGAACAAAGGTCACTAATTTTGTAATTTTGTAAAGATTTTGTCTCAAAAAAGAAGACCACAAACAGGTCAAAAACATTCGAAAACTTAATTAAAACAATCCAATTGAATAACAGAAAACAGACACGTATAGACCAAAAGAGTAGGGGCAAAGGAGAAAAAATTTCAGTCGTCGGAAAATAATTCGAAAAACTGTTAAAATGGGGAGCCTGCCAAATTTACATGAGTTGGAGCAAATGGAACGCAAACGTCAAAAACGACGAGAGCGTGAACAGCGTGAGCAACTACGAGAACAAAGAGCGCGGGACTCTAGTCGAGAAAGAGAACGTTTGGCAATGTTTGCTCATCGCAAAGTGAGTACAATAAAATTTTCTTTATTATATTTTATATAACGTGTATTTACTTAAGTATATTTATGTGTGCGTACCACGTGAACTAGTGCAGTTACTTTAAAATTGTGTTAACAGCTGATAAATTTATCAACCCAAACTGAGTTATTTTAGATTGGTACACATAAAATTTTTTTAAAGGCTATTTAAAAAAAAAATATCAATTTTCCTCACAATCTCAGTTGATATTTTTGATTTCAACCAAATATTAATATTTAATTTAAAATTTTTCATAAAATTTTAATAGCATTCATCTTATAATGCATATCTGATGGCTGGACTCGGTATGGGTGGAGGCACATTAGGTATGGCAGCTGCGCACATAGCTGGTGCAACAGCAACTGGTGGCGGTAATGTTAGTAGTGGAGCAGGAGTTGCTGCTACGTCAGCTACAACAACAGCAGCGGCAATGGGTGGTGTTGCTGCCATGGGTGGCACTGCATTATTTGGTATAAGCACACCCGTAGGCATAATAAACAAGTACCATCAACAGCATCATCATCATCGTCATTCATTGACAACTAGGCATCGCGTTTTGCGTACACGCAGTTCCGGTGCAACACACAGTATTTTTGATGAGCAAATGATGGAGGTAAGCAGTCAGGGTTATAATACTCATAATACAATAAGTTGTATGTTAAGGTATGATTAGAAAGATTTGTGCGTGGGCAGATAGATACTCGAATGTTCGAATTTCCACGAATTGCAAATCATTTTTGATATGCTTATTTTGAATTTTTTATATAATGACAAAAAATGATTTGATTTGAAAAATGATTTTTTATATAATAAGTGATAAGATAAATGACGATAAAAGTTAAATAATGAGATTATTTTT